AAAACAACGGTTGGTTCTTTGGATTATCTTCGTGTGAATCAACGTTCGTGCTGTTCTACATTGAATCGGAAGTGAAATTGAATCAGAGACTTTTGAAGGAGCCTCCAAACATACATAAGTGAATCTAAATCCTTGTATGGTGATGCGTGGTTTGACAAACATGCATATGTAGCAAGTGCACTAGTTGCAAAAAGTAATACAATGATAAAGTGGAGTATCGATCCCATGAGGATTGCATGCTAATTACCGAGTTTCCTAATTCTATTACTAATTGAAGAATACAAAAACGGTGGAACTGTGGGGGAAAGTAAAGCCAGAATTAAAACACAAAATCAAACAACTAAGATTAACACTAAACTAATCAACAGAAATTCAAATCAAGGCAAAAGAGGTTAGGGTTCGACTTCACTAGAATACTCTACTTTAACCTACAATTTATATTGCTTCCAAATTCACATGCAAGGATTATAAATCGAATTCGTTAAGTTATAGAATATACCTTCTCAGGCTATATTCTCCTACCTATCCCTATTAAGCTTTTGCACCTAACAAAATGAAGGTTAATAGTTCAAAGTCTATCAAGCTAAATGGAATCCTATAAAGATTTCATAGATTGTTAAACCTATCTCTAGCGTTTGCTTAACAGTGTTTACTCTAAGAAACTAACACATGAATCACTTCTCAGTCTCATCATGCTCAACATTCAATTGAATCAAAAGAAATCAACATCCAACTGCATTAAGAACAAGAATAAACACATGATCCAAGCAATAGAACTAAAAAACAACACAAATTTATAGACTAAACTATTGTAATCCAAGTTACATCAAAACCATAACCCAAAAGTGAGTTAGTTCACGTAAACTATAAATGTGGAGTTCCACATATTAGAAATTGAGAGAGGAATGAATTCTTCCCTATTTTGGAGACCCAAATTCCTCAAATCTTCTTCTCCTCTCCCCCTTATCTAAATATGTCAACCTCCTCTCAAAAATGAACTAAGTCTCTCTTAAATAGTGGGCCAAAAATCATAGGCACCAAAAACTTGATGCGTGCTTTCACAAACGTGCATATGTAGTAAGTGCACCAGTCGTAAAAAGTAATAAAGTGATAAGTAGAGTACTATTCCCATGAGGATAGTGTTAGTAAATACTAATTTCTCTAGTTTAAGTCCTAATTGAAGCAACAATAAATTGGATTAGTGGAAAATTAACAACTAAGTACAAATTAACAAAATATAAATGAATGATAATGAAATTAAAGCAAAACCCAACAACTTAACTAATTAAACAATGCTGAAAAAATGTTAGGGTGTTGATTTCACCTAGATACGCTAACCAAATCATAGAATCTATTACCCAAGTTCTAATTCCTTGATTGAAAATCGAATTCCCTAAGTTGTAAAACATACCTTCTTAGGCTATATTTTCCTACTTATCCCTATTAAGCTTCCGCACCCAACAAAATGAAGATTAATAGTTTAAAGTTTTTTAAGCTTTATGGAATTCTATCTATATTTCATAGATCGTGTTTATCTATCTTTAGTTTTTGCTCAATCTATGGTATTTATCCCAAGAGGCACAATCACAAATCACTTCTCAATCTCATTGTGAACAACATACATTTGAATGGTGATCAAGCATCCAAAAGTCATTAAGCAAAGAGTAAACACTCAATCATGAAATTAAAACTCAAAGTAAATCAAAACATATAAATTTGAATCATTGTATCAAGGTTACAGCAAACCCTAGATAAAAAATTCAGTTCATACTTAAAAACAAAATAAAATAACAAAGACAAGTTGAATCAACGTTCATCATTGTAAAACAAGCAAAAGATGGAGAAATCTTCTCTTATTTGAAGCCCAAATCTTTAATACTCTTCTCATTCCATGAACTATCTCCCAAATGACGAACCAAGACCCTTTTCCCTTCATTTTTGTGCTAATTTATACTTCTCTCACTTAAGGATGAAGCCTTAGCAAGCCAAAATGCGTCGTTTTATTTTTCACATCTGACGTAGTTTCACCACGGCGAATATTTTTCTTTGCCCCAGCGAGAATATTTTGGGCCAAATTTGAGCTTGATAGAATCTGAATTTGGAAAAGTGGTAAACATATGAATTGTATCCCTTTTAATTATATTTCTACTCGTTTAAGAATAAGCCCAATCAGAGATCTACAGTTCAAGTTATGGCCAACATACTGAAGCACATCCAAAGACCTTTTCTTCAGTTACTAACGTACTGTTTACGACTTCAAGCCAAGTTTTCACTCTTTTCCAGTCATAATTAGGAAAATCCAAAAACATGAAAGTTGTAGCTCTGCGTCTTAGTTTTCCATAGGTTCTATATTCAGGTCATTCCGAGTTTCCAAGATCAAGCTACGCAATTTACGATCAAAACTATCATTTATGCTCAAAATCATCGTTTAGGCCTGCAAAGAAAAATTAATATAATTAGGTAGCAATTATGGCCCAAATTGTATGAGAATTATCCTAAATCCTATTGAAATTCAATGCAAAATCATAGGGAAAAAGAGGATTATTAAATATGCATAAAAAAAAAAAAAAACTCTGTAGATAGTTGTAATTAAATTTCTGATTTCCTTATGCATTTCCAGCACAAAAATAAGAAATGCATAAGTTTGGGGGTTGTGAAAAAGATTGTAAAAGTTGGTTGGAAAATGAGAAAGAATGGGTTTTGTAGATGTTGCTCTTTGTGTTTACATGAGGAAAACCGAGTTCTCTTACTTTGTTTTTCCTACCCCTTTTTTTGAGCCACACACCCAAGCCTAACGTTATAAGCCAACAAAGACCTTTTGATCCTTAGTGATGTCTAGTCTTCATTAGTGGAGAGTAGTTCGATACTTAGGCTTATAAAGCCTACCATCCTTTGATAAATTTCACATTTCTGCATAAAATAATTCGGGAAGTCGGAAGGTGGATTGAAGTGGGGATTACCTACTTAGGGGACTGGTAGCGTGCCGAATGCACCAAATTAATTAACCTTACTAACCTAACTATTAAATTGTATATAGGGTGAGCAAGGGTCGATCCCACAGGGAATGATTCGATTAAATCCTATATTCTATGCCAATAACCACAGCGAAGATAACAGGAAAATAAAATAAAATCCTAAACAGTAAACACGACAGCGTAATTAATGAAAGGGGTTGTAATCAATGCAATCTAAAGTGAAACAAATAAATCTCCAATGGTAGAAAATATCAAATTAAAAACAACCAGTTCTCGGTTCAAGATCCACCTAAACATGCATTGGACACGAACTAACTGTAATATTATTCTATCTCGTTATTATGGAATTACTGACCCTAGGAAACAACAAGCTCTGTTACCCTAATTTTCCTTAATAATCACCACTGAAAAAGCTCTTCAATTAGATCCTAACCCTTGAACAACCTAGAATAAGCTCTCTAAATTTAATTCAATGGCAGCCTTAAGCACTAGGAAAATAGATCAATCCAAGCAACAATCACACAAGATCGGATTATTAAACTTAGGTTATGTTATTCAAGGTTACAGATTGAAAACTTGTCCATAATCATCTGTCATCATGTGTTACTCATTGAATAGAAAGAGGACAATTACGTATCACACTTCCTAATTCTAACAGATAAAATTCCGATTAAACAATTCAGCAGGCCATTACTAAATCACCCAAACAGAAAATTATAAACAATTAAAATAGAATAACATAAACAATTCCAATAAAAACGAGATTGAGAAAAATGTTACTAAAGTTAAGTTACACCAATGAAATGAATTTAGGCTTCAAAATGCCCTTGAACTAAAGAAGAAAGATTAGCCGCACATCTTGACGTAGAAAGTAAAAGAAAACCCAAAAAACCTACTGTTGTCCTCCTTCCTTTTAACCTAACAACTCATAAATAAATAACATGTTTTTTTCTTCTTTCTCCCCCAGGAAAAACGGAAATTACTTTGCTAGATCTTTCCTAAACGATAGACTTCCAAAACTGTCAAAATCTTATAAGATATGGACAGCAGAATTCGTAATCCAGTTTGCACTAGGATTCTCACAATGTAAAAGAACTTTTATGGGCTTGGTCACTACATAAAAGTTGTAGTCCCGGATGTGTAGATGAATTTGGGCTTTTGAATCAGCTGCTTTCGATATCTGAAGCTCTAGTTAGGCCCATTCAAAGACTCGATACTCAGCTAGGAAATCCTTCCGCGAATAGGATTCCAGGTCCGGTTTTGCAACAACTAATGAGGGCCCGAACGAACTCGAATTCTCGCCCATAATACCTTCCTGGGAAGCTTGATTTGTCTACTTTACTTTTCCTAAAGAACCCTTTTGCAATCGAGAAATCTGACTCTATGAAAAATCTGAAAAACGCAGCACTGGTCAAAATAACAAAAACTCTGGAATTTCCTAATCTTTTCTCAATTATTTCATAAAGTCTATCCAAATATGTCAAACCTACAAAATAAACTCTAATCAACTCAACTAGGCATAAAACATAACAAAAAACATAATATGGAAGGAATAAAAATATATAAATTACACTCTTATCAGGGATCGATAGAGAAAGATAGTCAATCAATTTATAACTTCTTGGAGTGTTAAACATTTTCTCGTAATAATGTATCAACANGAACTTGCCACCAAATACTGCATCTGAATTGAAGTGATAACCTATGAAAAAATCACCCATATTTCTTTGAATTTGCTTGGATGCTTCGTGATTGAAGTATTTAAACTTCTGTGGTCTTTGTTGTATTCTCGGTATGAAAACTAAGTTTAAAGTATAATGTGTGTGTAATGTAGATCTCAGTATTCATTATCAAAAGGATCCCTGAGTTTGTAAGTTTTGACTTTAATTTAGGTCCTTGACATATTGATTATTTGTATGTTGTTGTGGTATTTTCTATTGGATTCCATTTTCTATGGTTGTAGAAAGTTGTCTTTTATTTCTTGATTGTATTCAATTGGAAATTACATTTTATTCTTTTTCATAGCGGTATGAGCTTGATAAAAATTTTACGAACACTGTTAAACATTATGCAGCGCTAAGTCTTACTTCAAATCATGATAACTTGGTCCAACCAGTGAAGAAAGTGCGCATGCATCTTCCATCTGCAAGTCGCATACTGCTCCCAGACGGCAGGAACTTGGCTTATCATGAGCTAGGTGTTTCAGCAAACAGAGCTAGATTCTCTGTGATTGCTCCACATTCTTTTCTTTCCTCCAGACTTGCAGGTAGAATAGATCAATCTGTGGTTCATTAAGAAAGTGGTATTGATGAAATTTGTATGCATGGTATTGGTCAAAATTGGGGCAGAGTCATTACTGATATTTTAAAAAAAAAATTGTACTATGAAAGGTATACCTGGTGTCAAAACGTCACTGCTTGAAGAGTTTGGTGTTCGCTTGGTGACATATGATCTTCCTGGCTTTGGAGAGAGTGATCCTTGTCCTAGCCGGAATCTTAACTCATCAGCATCAGATCTACAGGACCTAGCGGATTCTGTTGGTATCAGTGGCAAGTTTTGGGTGCTGGGTTACTCTAGTGGAAGCATGCATGCTTGGGCTGCACTGAAATATATTCCTAACAGAATTGCAGGTAAATCAATCTTTTTTTTTTATATGAATGCATAATCTCTAACTACTTTTTTGCTACTTAACAAGGTCAGCATCCTGTTATGTAGCAGGCCCTGGACTTATTTATATCAAGTTTAGGAAACAATTGCGTTGTACAGTTTTAAATAATTATTTTTACTCTTATTTTGATAACTGGACTAAATCTTCTCTCACTAATATAACTTTATTGTGAATTTTCTGATGTCTTCGCTGGTTCTGCAGGTGCTGCATTTTTTGCCCCTATGATTAATCCATATGAATCAGGCATGACTAAAGAAGAAATGAGAAGAAGTTGGGAAGAGTGGTTACCTAGGAGAAAATTAATGTTTTTTTTAGCTCGTAGATTTCCAAAATTGCTTTCACATTTCTATCGTCAAACCTTCCTATCTGGAAAGCATGGACGAATTGACAAGTGGATGTCATTGTCGCTTAGCAAGAAGGTAATCTATTTTATCTTTCTCAACAATCAAAACGCTTCCAAGCATTTTCATTTGCGTCTATCACATATTTCTCTGTTAGTGATTGCATGGTTGGTTTTAGTGATAGCTGTTGTTGGTGAAGTTTTCATGTTTTAATTTAAGAATGCAATTTATCATTTTTCTGTTACAACGGAGTGTTTCCCCTTATTGGATAATCTGCCTTAACTAGCTGCAACGCATACATTATTTTTTGAGACATTTATGTGATTTGAATAACATACGCTTGATATTTCAGGATGAAGTTCTGATTGAAGGGCCAATCTTTGAAGAGTTTTGGCATAGAGATGTAGAGGAGTCTGTTCGCCAGGGAAATACAAAACCATTCATTGAGGAAGCTGTGCTACAATTGTCCAACTGGGGTTTCAGCCTGGCAGATCTTCAGGTGCGGAAGGAGTGCCTGAGAAGAGGGATTCTTCCTTGGCTCAGGTCGATGTACAGTCAAGAACAATGTGAATTGGCAGGATTTTTAGGTCCAATACACATATGGCAGGTTTGCACATATTCTCTCTTGCTCTATCATATTAATATAATTCTTTTAATAAGAAACTCAAATTTGGAAGAAAATATCATGTATCATTTGTGAGAGTTGTTTGTCATAGAATTATTACTAATGGAATAATAAAATAAAATTTGTGAGATATTAATCATTATTATGTTTCATTTTAGAAAACTAGCTATATATAAACTGTTACATCAAGTCCCAAGGTTTTGCTGGAAACTTGGGTCCGTTTGGTTAGTTATTTAGAATAGCATTTTTGGAAAATAGGATAGGATTCTAAGAAGTTTTTGGTACCTTTTTTAATAGCATTTTCTGAAAAAATTTAGATTATTTTTAACCCTTAAGTTTTTTAATTTAACTAAACCTCGTTGTGTGCCATTCCGGCATTTTTCACTCAAATTCACCGTGGATCTGGCCGTTGACGGCCAAACAATGGCTAAGATATGATTGCCATTGACGGCTAGATCTGGCCATCAACTGTCAGATCTTTGACCGTAAATCTGGCTATTTCTGGCCAGATCGACGCACAACCGGCCAGATTCAGCCGGTCGTGTGTCGTTACAGCGACGGCGGCCGGCAGTGGCTATTGGCAGGCGATAGTGGCTTGGGTTTGTGGGGATGTTTTTGTTAATTTTAAAATTTTTATTGAGAAAGATAATTGTTAATGTTTTGAGTTGAGTTGAATAGAATATGATTAGATTTTAAAAAGAATTTTGAATATTGAAACAAATATGTATTTTGATAGGGTTGGGATAGTCAAACAAACACAACCTTTTCAAATTTTGAATTGATTTTATGTCTCCCTTTGTTTGGGCACATTTCAAACAAATCCTTGTCAATCTTATATGTCACCACCAAGCCTGCAATCTATGCTATCTCTGGAATCTCCTTATGAACCCCGAAAGATAAGAGCAAACATTTGGGAATCTTTATTAAGTAGTGACCATTTTTACTGTGATAACTTGCATAGGCTCTTCAAATTTCAAGTGTATTAATAATTTCTTCTCGTAGATATTCGGATTATTACGGTATTTCAAAAATTCAATATAATTGATTTCTCTTTTAATCTTTCTTTTCCTTATCAATGCTAAACAGGGAATGGATGATCAAGTTGTTCCACCTTCAATGACTGACTACATAAACCGAGTTTTACCTGCAGCAGTTATACATAAACTCCCATACGAAGGCCACTTTTCTTATTTCTTTTTCTGTGATGAATGCCACTGGCAAATTTTTTCCACTCTTTTTGGGAGCCCTCAAGGCCCTCTAGAACAGAAAATGGAAATGGTTGAAGCTCCATTTGAAGGAGACACCAAAGAGGCATACGGCATTACGGATTGAAGAATAATAATCTCACTACAATCTTACCAAGGTTTTTTCCTTTTATTTTGACCCTTCCAATTTTATGTAAATACTACAGGGTGCTCTTCCGCTTAGAGAGCATGAAAGATGAAATTGTAATTTTCTATATTACAATTTTTGGATGACAAAAACATTTAACGAGAGATGTTCTCAAGTAAGAAGGAATTTTTACCAATTTTTCTTTTGGTTCTATGTTGAGTGGTCAGGAATTTATATTGAACGGTTTATCTTGTAGTATTATTTTAAGACGAGATTTTAATAATGTTTTACTGTAAATATAAACTGGGAAATGAAAAAGTAAACATGTATATTGCAACCAGTGTTTTAAAACCCAAAACGAGGTGAAACCTAGCATAGTGGTTGGATCTTGGGTTGACCGGTTTTATCTGCGTCTAAAGGTTTCAAATCAAACAAAAATACCCCTAAAAATTACATGTAAGTTCTTATAGATTTGAAATATTGTAAAAACACTTCAAACACCACCGTCGACGTTAGCAAATAGGGTCTATTTCTAGCGAGGACAATACTCCCCATCACCACGAAAACACTCCCTTCAATCTCTTAACCCAAAACCCACCTCACCCATCCCCCGTTCGCCTCCCCAATCGCCGACAATAGCAAGCTTTTTTTGACAACATAGTTTTGTATTTCCAGTCGATTCACTCACCAAAAATCACCACCGTCACCACCATTATACTCACTGACCATTTCTTTTCAAAAGTCTTAACATTCCAGTCTTCAATTGTCACGGATTAATGTTCTAATTTCTACGGTTTTCAATGAATATAAAAATTTGTAACCTAATCCGATGAAGGCCCTAGGTCCCGATTCAACCAGTCGGACCAGACCAGGTTTTAAAACACTGGTTGCAACATCTATAACATCATCTTAAACTTTTCCATGATTAGAGGTTAGGCAATAGCGCGGTTTCCTTTGGGTGATAATTCATAGAAATTAAAATAAAAATTAAATTTCCAAGGGTTATGAAAGACTAACTACAATTGTTGCTATCAATAGAATGATGTTACACTTACTGAAGCAATCCACGCCGTTTTACAACAAATTTCCCTCACCTTACAACGGATAAATAATAGAAAAATCATGTGGGGACAATAGGGATATCATCAAGGCCAACGGTGTTAGAGATGTAGGAACGTGAGAGATGATTGAGCAATGATCGAAAGTGCTTTGCCCCTTTTTTTAGTAAATTTTCTAGTGAAAGAAGATTCGCTTGATAATGGTCGGTTGAATGTGTAGTGAGTAAACAAAGCGAGAATCCAAATCACGCTATCTAAAGTTTCAGTTTACGGTTTGTTTTTGTTATGATTTGAGGTCAGGATATTAATGGAATCTTCTCGATTAAAGCAAACTCTAACAGAGAATAAACATTCATAGTGGAGCGGTAGGACTTTTACGAGTTCAATGAAATGAGGAGATGAGAGGAAGAGTGAACACGTGGCGAGAGGAAACTGGCGAGTGTAGGGAAGATCCGGCAATACGATACGGCGGGAGATCCGAGGTATGTCGTACTACGACGAGGAAAAACGACGTGGATATGAACCGGAAAATGCGAAGGAGAGATTTACAAAAAAGGATCAAGTGACGGGGTTTTGAACTATGGGGTGAGAGATGCTTTTAGAATTAGGTGAAAGGCTGTAAGGATATTTTGCAGCAGACTGTAAATAACATGAGGACTCGTTTTATTATGCAAAAACTCGGAGACCGGTGGCTAAGGTTTCGGGCGATTAAGACTTTTTGAACGAGTTGTTTCCGAGGATAGAGATCCGGTTCACGCCTGGCCGTTGTTTTCTTCGTTTTATCCTCGCTCTCTCTGGTATTTTGTTTTTTTTTTTTTCCTTATTGTGATTGTTTATTATATTGAAGATTCCAATCTGGCTTGGGAATCATGAGAAATTACTTGCTATTTGTGTGATTCATGACCTATGGTTACTAACGTTCAACTTTGATAAGTTTTTGTTTATTGTTTTTATATGTAATCAGGGAGGACTGCTCATGGTAAAGAACTTTGCCACCAAACTACGCATCTGAATGGAAGTGATTGAAAACATATGAAAAAAATCACCCATATTCTTTGGATTTTGCTTGGATGCCTTCGTGATTGAACGTATGAAATTCATCTGTGTGGTCTCTGTTGGATTATTCTGCGGATTATGAAAAAGTTATGCAAAACTAAGTTTATATTAGTAGTATACGTGTGTCGTAAAGGCGATCACGCGAGTTTGTAGTTTTTTGACTTCTTAATTTGGTCCTTTGACATATTGATTATTTGTATGTTGTGTGTGGTTATTTTTATTGGAATTACAGTTTTCTATGGTTGAGTAGAAAGTTGTCTTATTCTCTGATGTATTCATATTTGGATAATATTTATTCTTCTTATCATAGCTGTATGAGACTGATAAACATTTAAGAACACGGTTAAAACAGTTATGCAGCGCTAAGTCTTAATTCAAATCATGATAATTGGTTCCAACGAGTTGAAGAAACGTGGGCATGAATCTTCATCTGAAGTCGCCAATACTGCTCCCAAGGCCAGAGCAGGTTGGCAGAGGAAAGGATGGACTTATCGGAGGAGCTAGGTGTTTCAGAACAAGACTAGATTCTGTTTCCTTGTGATTGCTCAACATTTCCCTTTCTTTCCTCACGATGAGGGTAGAATAGACAAATCTGGTGGTTCATAAGAAACGTGGTATCATGAATATTGTATGCGTGTGTATTGTCGTGGGGGGCGAGGAAATTGAGGGCAGTGGAGATCATTACCTGACTATTTTTAACAAAAAAAAAAATTGTACTATGAAAGGGAATACCTGGTGTTCAAAAGTCATGCTGGAAGAGTTGGGTTCACTTGGTTGACATATTGATCTTCCGGCTTTTGGATGAGAGTGAACTTATCCTAGACGGAATCTTAACTATCAGCATCGATATACGGACCTAGCGGATTCATGTTGGTAATCAGTGGCAAGGTTTGGGGTGCTTGGGTTTTACTCTAGTGAAGCCGCAATTCTGCGTTGGCTGCACTGAAATATATTCCTAACAGAATTGCAGGTAAATCAAGTCTTTTTTTGTTATATGATGCATAAGTCTGTAACTACTTTCTTGCTACTTAACAGGTCAGCATCCTGTTATGTAGCAGGGCCTGGACTATTTATATCAGTTTAGGAAACATTGCGGTTGTACAGTTTTAAATAATATTTTTACTCTTAGTTTGATGAACTGGACTAAATCTTCTCCACTAATATAACTTTATGTGAATTTTCTGATGTCTTCCCTGGTTCTGCAGGTGCTGCATTTTTTGCCCCATGATTAACCATATGAATCAAGCATGGATAAACAGAAGAAATGAGAAGAATTGGTGAAGAAGTGGTTACTAGGAGAAAATTATGCTTTTTTTAGTCGTAGATTTCCAAATTGCTTCAACATTTCTATCGTCCAAACCTTCCATTGGAAAGCTGGACGAAGTGACAATGGTGATGGCAGTGTCGCTTAGCAAAGAAGGGAATCTATTTTATCTTTCTCAACAATAAAAGCTTCCAAGCATTTTCTTGCTGGTATACACATATTTCCTCTGTTAGTGATTGTAATGGTTGGTTGTAGTGATGCTGTTGTTGGTGAAGTTTTCATTTTAATTAGAATGCAAATTTATCATTTTTCGTTTACAACGGAATAGTGTTTCCCCTTATTGGATAATCCTGCCTTAACTAGCTGCAACGATACAGTATGTTTGTGAGACATTTATGTTAGGAAACCTACGCTTGAATTTCAGGGTGAAGTTCTGAGTGAAGGGCCAATCTTTGAGAGAGTTTGGCCATAAGAGATGTAGAGGAGTCTGTTCGCAGGGAATACCAAAACCATTCAGTGAGGAAGACGTGCTAAAAGTGTTCCACTGGGGTTTCAGCGCATGAGCACGATCTTCAGGTGCCGGAAGGAGTGCCTGAACAGAGGCGATTTTCCCTTGGCTCAGGCTTGGGTCAGTCAAGAACAATGTGAATTGGCCAGGATGTTTAGGGTCCATATGGTGGGTAATTGTTGTTTTCAAACTTTTCGAGTAGTAAATTATTGTTAAGGCAAACTTCGGATGGGAAGATGTAGTTCGACCTATTAAAAATCACTTCCCTTGTCTAAAATGTAAGGCTTCGTTTGTTTAAGCTGAATAGGATTTAATCAAGTAGGATAGGATTCTGAGAATGTGTTTGGTACTTTTTTGTATTGTTTTTGTTAATTTATAAACTTTTATTAAGAATAGTAATTGTTAAATGTTTTAAGTTGAATAAAATAAGAATAGATTTTGAATTGAATGTTAGAATTTTAATTAATTCATTGCCTAAAATTACTATTTGGTCCTTCACTTTTATATATATTATTTTATATAAAATTCAACTGTTGAGCAGTTTCTTAGCAGTCATCCCCAACAATTGTCTTCGATGGAAAAACTTCTACATGCTTTAAAAGGGGAACAGTTACAGGTCTCCAATAAACGCTATTAATTCTGATTTCCCAAAAACCATCGTTCTGAAAACTGCAGTGCATTGGAAGAGTTTGTAACCTTTGAAGAACACAACAACAACAAATTGCTATGGCTGGAGGTTAGTGATTAAATTATTTCGCTTCCATAAATCTCCATGAATATATGAACATGTATATGAATAATGATATAAATATATACATGTTGATTCTGAGTGATTTACATTACTGATCTTATATTGAATAGTTAATATTAAAACAAATATATATTTTACTGGATTTAATAGGATAATATGATAAAATAGGGTTTGAAAAGTTAAGGCTCCGTTTGGTTCATTATTGGGTAATTTTTAGAATAATCTTTTGAAAAAAGTTAAATTGAGTGGGTATTACGATGTAGAATTTTGGAAATTAACATAAATACCCCTATGTTTATTTATTTACTAAACACTCCTATAATAAAATATTCAAAGTTAGCAAAAACACTCACAATCCACTAATAAATACGGACAGCCGGCCACCACCGCCGGAGGGTGGCCGGAGTTGTCTTATCGGAGTATGACCAGCTCGATATTGCTGGTCGTACATCGATATGGTCTTTTTCAGCCAGATCCACTGTGGATCTGGCAGGAAAATGCCAAATCTACAACTAGATCTGGCCATTGACGGCCAAATCTGGCTGTATTTGGTTATCAACGATGGCCGAAGATACGGTCGTC